AAAAAAAAAACACTCCTTGGAGAGATCAATCATGGGAGAATAGAAGGGGAGTGTATGCACAGGGAGACCGCTTTGGGGGCAGGAGTGCATAGGAGAGAAAGACACAGGGAAGAGGTAATCATGGGGAGGAAGTGGGAAGACAGCTGTTACATTGTGGGAAATTGCAGTCAATGTCATGAGACAAAATGTGTATGAACTGTTGTGTGGAAAATGAATTTGCTCTGTATACTTTCACCCAAATCACAATAAAAGTTAATTTTTTTTTTTTTCACACTAAGATACTTTACATACCTGAATGAGATTAAGTAACTTGCCAAAGGTCATCAGAAAGAGAGCTGGACATGAATCAGCTCTCAGCCTAAGTCTATTCTTCCCATTGCCCCCATGTTGCTTATAGCTCCCAGCTGGCTCCTCCAGTCCCTGAAGAAGAAGGATGATGTCTCTTTTGTCTTTCTTTATACCCTAACAGAGTTCAGTGCTCAGTGACAATCACAAATCCCATCTGGGAGCAAAGAAGGAAGGGAAGAAAAGGAAGCAGGGAAAGACAGACAGAAGGAGGATGGTACTCACTTTTGCAGAGACTGGTCTGCATCATCAGCATTTGCTGGCCCCAGGTCTGAGTCATAGGACATGGGCTCCTCAGAACGGTCTGGACTCTTGGAGCCTTTTTCTTGGAGTAGGCAGCTAACAGAGTCCAGGCTGCAGGACAGCTGGGATGAACTGGCCGTGTCAAGGCTGAGGGAGGAGGCAGTGAGCTTCCTGTTCCGTTGGATCTTATGGCCTGAGTGCTGGACTTCAATGTCCTCTGAGCCCGAGGAATGGGAAATTGAATCCAGAGACTCCTTCCGCTGTAGTTCTGCACCAGAGGTAGTGACAGGGTCGAGCTCAGAGAGTGGGCAAAGCCCAGAGAGGGCCAATGGGGTGAGTGTCCACTCATTTAAGATGGCAGACTTGTAGGAGAGTTCAAAGGACAGAGACGTTAGTCCCTGCAGGAAGCTAAGGAGAAACTCGCCCTCCTCAGCATCTGGAAGCAGGGCTGTGGGCTGATAGTACTCGCACAACCGGGCTTGCTCCTGGAGAAGCAGTTTCAGGTAGCACTCCATCAGTCCATCATTGAGGGCCAGTCGAAGCCAGGCCCGGCAACGGCCCACATCCGTGTTGACAAAGATCAGGTGCTCCAACTCTGAGATGATGTGTCTGGGAAAGGGGAAAACAGACTTGTTTCAAGTAAGCACCTCAACTCACTGAAATGTCATTAACAAGAACCAGTAATAATAATGACTGTAAATATACACAGGCTTGACAAATTCCTGAATAATACTGTTTTTAGTTATTATTTTTTTAATTTTATTGTGATTTGGGTGAAAGTCTACAAAGCAAATTCATCTTCCATATAGCAGTTCACATACACTTTTGTCTCATGATACTGACTGTAATCTCCCACAAGGCAATAGCTCTCCTCCCACTTCTTCCCCATAGCCACCTCTTCCCTATGTCCTTCCCTCCCAAGCACTCTTGCCCCACGAGCCGTCTCCCTGTGAATACACAACCATTCAAGTCTCCCATAATTGAGTTCTCCAAGGAGTATATCTACCTAATGTAAATGTTCAGCTCATATGCCTGTCTTTTGTTTGGCTAGAAGCCATAGGAGTGGGTTCAATTCCACACCTG